AAGGGTGTCCAGGGGCCATATTCTCAAGGCTTCTCCAGTCTCTGTTAGGCTAGTAAGTCTGGTCTTTTTTTGTGAGTTAGAATTTTGTTCTACATTTTTCTCCAGCTCTGTCCAGGATCCTCTGTTGTGATCCCTGTCAGAGCAGTCAGTGGTGGTAGCCGGGCACCATCTAGTTGTGTTGAACTCAGTCTGGTGGAGGCTGCGGTAGTTGTGGTCCGTTAGTCCTTTGAACTAATCTTTCCCTTGTGTCTTTGGTTTTTTTCATTCTCCCTTGCTCCTGAAGGGGTGAGACCAGTGGAGTATCTTAGATGGCCACTCACTCAGCAGCAGATTTTTTGGTAAGACACTTCGACAACTGAATGTGCTTCAATTTTTGAAAAGTCAGATTTCATTCCATAGCTTGTCATGCAGTTATAGAATTACAGGAAGCCTTGCTGGATTCATAAAGCATCTTTCTTAACAGATCCAAGCATTAATAAATGTGACTCATTATGTAATGATATCTAAATTTTAAAGTTCGTTTCTCACTTTACAGGTAGATAAACGGACACAAAGACCCAGGAGAAATGATTTGTCCATGGTCAGTCAGGAGTAAAATCTAAGCCTCTTAGTTCCTAATTTAGTGGTTTATATGCTAAATTACACTGCCTCTTCAACCCTTTGGGAACATAAACCTGGAACCCTGTATAAACAAAATGGGTCCAAATTTACATTCTCACTTAGAGAAATTAATTGGATAATTTATCAGGTGTGAAAATAACAGTAGAATATTCTGTACAATTGATCAAGGACTTTCACATAAATTCATTATAAAAAATACCCCTTTAGGCAAAATAAATAAGATTAAAATTCCACATAACAGATCTATGAAAGTTTAAACTAGCTTAAAGTGTGGACTGCAATTCCAGTTGAAACATAAATGCCACAAGTTTCCCAAAAGAGTTTAATACAACTCTATTAAAGTTCAATTATCTTAGCAGTGAGATTTTTCAAGAGAACCCCAATTGGAAGAAGTCTAAATTTCATAATAAAGTGCTAGGGGGAAAAAGCAACAAAAGTAACATTTGTGCCTTACCACCTAAAATTTACATGACAAATGACTAGGTATCGGTCAGCTTTAATCATTGATTTTACTCAATGTTCATTATTAAATATCTGAGTGCCTACTCTGTGCTAGGAGTCCTGGGTGGTGCAAACACGTTAAGTGCTCAACTACTAGCCAAAACGTTGACGGTTGTAACCCACCGAGGGGTGCCTCGGATGAACAGCCTGGCCATTTGCTTCTGAAAGGTCACAGCCTTAAAAACTCTATGGAGCACAGTTCTTACTCTGCAACGCATGGGGTCGCCATGAGGCAGAAATGAACTCTACAGCAACTGGTTTGATTTTTCACTCTAAGCTGAATATATGCGACTCAGCAGTGAACAAAACAGTGCCCCTGCCTTTAGAGTTTACATTCTCCTGGGGTCTAGCATAGGAGAGAACCATTGTTACCTGCTTCTGAGACCACTGGCTGCATTTCCTTCTCAGAATGCAAATACTTATGCCGTTCTTTCCACTAGAGTCCCTGGGTGGTGCAAATGGTTAATGCGCTCAGTCAGCGAAAGGTTTGCAGTTTGAGTTCACCCAGAGGCACCTCAGAAGAAAGGCCTGGAGATCTACTTCTGAAAAATCAGCCACTGAAAACCCTATGGAGCACAGTTCTACTCTAACACACTTGGGGTCTCTATGAGTCAGAATCAGCTCCATGGCAACTGGTTACTGATTGGTTCTTTCCGTGAGCATTTTAGCTTTTACCCCGAAATCTCCATGGGAGAATGCTGGCGTAAATGCAATTAGTTAGCAGAGGAAGGAAGCTCTAACGAGAGGAGGTGCCCCCTTTCAGAGAAAATTCCTTGGAAGCAGCGTTGCACTGTTTTGCTGCCCTTCCAGGAGTGGGACACACCTACATTCAGAGCTCAAACCTGAGAGCACAGAGGAGCACGCCTGGCCTCCCCTCTTGTCCGAAAGGCAGGGCCCCTGCCCTACTGAGACAGCACTTCGTGAGAGAAAAAGGAGTACCCCATCTCCTCATTCCACAAAATGTTTTCCCCATCTAGCATTATTTTTCAGAATTTTCTAAGAACCCAAGTTTTCTGGAAAACAAGCTTTAAAATATTAAAGATGTAGGTGACAATTAGCGTGACAACTAGGCATCTCCTTACAAGTGTTTGTCTCTGACTCAAAGTGCAGGCTGTCACCTGGTGCTGGAAACTGCAGAGAACCATCCAGTTTGATTTCATCGGATCATTGGTCTGGATATGGGGAATTAGGAAGTTCCAACTCTATTCTGTGAACACAGCAGCAGCAACTGTGAAAGTGACACAGTCTATCATGTGAATTGGGAAATATAAAAATAAAAATAAAAATGACTATCTGTTGCCTTTTTTTCATTTCCTTAAAGTTCCTGAGTAGTTCAAACGGTTAATGTGATCAGCTGCTAACTGAAAGGTTAGAGGTTCGAGTCTACCCAGAGGTGGACGACAGGTGGAAGAAAGGCCTGGTGCTCTACTTCCAAAAAATCAGCCATTGAAAATTCTGTGAAGGACAGTTCTACTCTGCACATATGGGTTCACCATGAGTTGGAACTGACTCGACAGCAGCTGATTTGGTTTTTTGGTTTTCATTTCCTTAAGGCATTGCACTGCTTAGGGTCTGTGGAATCCAAGCCAAAGTCAATTCTGACTCATAGCGACCCCGTAGGACACAGTAGAACTGCCCACAGGATTACCAAGGCTGTCATCTTTATGGAAGCTGATTGCTACATCTTTCCCCCATGCAGCGGCTTTTTGGTTAGCAGCTGGGTGATTAACCCCTGGGCCACCAGTGCCGCTTTTTTTAGGGAACTAGGCATTATAAAAGAGACTTAATGGTATTTTATATAAAATAATGAGCAGAATTTAACTGAGGCAAGATAAGAAAAGAGTAGCAGCAACTGAATAAAAGAAAAGTACTTCAAAGTCTTAAGTTAGAAACACCTCTCTAATAATTAAAAATGTTTCTGGCCACCAGAGACTTGAGGATTCCCTGGAAAAAGGAATGACAAGAGCTGCTCCTCTGTACAGAGAATGTGTTTTAATTGCATGCATAATTGATTACCACGCTCAATGCTTATCGAAGACTGGTTATAGTCTGGCATAGTCTCAGATAAACTGGTATGAACACAGCAATGGAGAACATGATTTTATACTTGTGACAAAAATGAACTGCTAGGGAAGGTCATCTAACATCTCTATATCAGACCATCATGCGTTAGGAGAAGAAAATGCCACCTTTCATTCTACTCAATATTTCTCTACTATTCATCCCCCAAATAAAAGTTGAATCGTACTGCAGTATAGCCAGAAACTGTCATTGCTGTAATTGCCAAAGAGTAGCACTGAACTACCAAACTTCAAATCAACTTCCTGACTTCTGTTTTCTAATAGCAGAATGTATGACTTGCAACAAGTTTCATCCAGTATGGGATTGGATAACTCTGGGAAAAGAGAAAATTAAAAAAAAAAACTTAGCTATGGCCTAGAATGATGCTGAAAGATGAATATATTAACAAGTGGTTTATAAAATATACACGGCCCAATTACTTGTGGGCCAACTGGCTGAAACCAGCATGACTTGGAGTGGGGCTGGAGATTCAAAAAATATAAGGGAGAAGCTCGCTTCCCAGGTTAAGACTTGATTTTGAATTGAAGTCTTGTCAACAATTCCCTATTTGCAATGACCGCATGACCATTACTTCTACTCTATACTCGTTAACGAATGACCAGCATAAAATAACTGGTTTATTGCAAAATGCCAAATGTTGGGGGTTAAAAAAAATTGCACATCTGAATTAAAACATGGCCCAGCTGATAGACATTACATTCAAGTGAGCTATTAGTCAGCAAAGAGTAAGTTAAAGCAATTTTCCATCGGCAAACTCTTTTAAGAAGTATTGTCAACATTTTGCTAGTTAGAACTTAACTTCTTAAAATAGAATTTCACAGTTGGAGGGGACCTCAGAAATCATCTAGCCCAACTCATTTCAGAGGCGTTTAACTTGAGGCTTAGGGAAGTTGAAGGCAGGCAGACAACTGTTTTTGTGCGGGTTAAAGCACTTAGGAAAAAACATCACCAAGGCAGGAAATGACTCTTCTTAGTACTTAATGTACAGTCACGCTTTTAATAGAAATTAGAACAGGAAGCTTTTAATATTTCCTTTTGGGGGGGGGGCTGAATGTTTTGTGGTAACTTTTTTTAATCCATCTGTAACAGATTCATAGATACTTGTTAGTTGCTGTCAAGTCCTGGTGACCCCATGTGTCAGAGTAGAATTGTGCTCCATAGGGTTTCCGAGGTGCTGAACTTTTGGAAACAGATTGCCAAGCTTGTCCCCTGAGGTGCCTCTGTGTGGATTCAAACTGCCAACGTTTCAGCTAGCAGTCAAATGCTTAACTGTGTGCGCCACCCAGGACCTCATTTTTTTTCTTTGATAAAACTATGCATGCTTATTATAGAAAATGTAAAAAAAAGAAAAAAATCATAAAGAAAATAAGTCAAAAATTCTACAACCCAGGATAATCACAATTAAAAGGTTATTTCCTTCAAGCTTTTTATATGCACATACAAAAATAACTACTTTTTTTTTCTAAATTTTATTTGGTTAGTTGTTATTGAGAATATACACAGCAAAACGTACACCAATTCAACAGTTTCTATATGTACAATTTAGTGACATTCTTCGAGTTGTGTGACCATTCTCACCCTCCTTTGGAGTTGTTCCTCCCCCATTAACATAAATTCACTGTCCCCTAAGGTTCCTATCTGATCTTTCAAGTTGCTGTTGTCAATTTGATCCCACATAGTTCTTAAAAGAGCATAATGCTCAAAGCAGACCTTTTTTTTCACTAGTTAAGCTAAACTCTTCGGTTTTAAGATGCCTTCAGGGGTACTATTTACTTTTAAAATGAAAGGTGACAATATTTATTCATTAAAAAACAATCACAGGAACAGCAGCAGTGCAGGTGGTACTGCAGTGATTTTCAGGAGCCAGCTGGAAAGCATCGTAGCTAAGGGACACAAACGGACAGGATATAAACTGGGAACTTGCAATGAACCTGTGGTACCGAAGGTGGCACAGGCCTTTACTTTCACTCTGTAACACGAACCCACCAGAGCAGAAGCCTAAATGTGGGGTAGGGGTGAAGGTGCAGAGAGAAGAGTAAAGGAGCAGATCAAGGCAACACTTGCTGGGTCTGCCTGGAACCTGGGGTCAGACTCCCCTCCAGAGCCAAGGTCTCTCAGGTTCCTTTTGAAATGAAAGGTAATCTTGAACACTGGTCAGGGGGCTCTGATGTGGCCTCTCTGGAGATACAATATGCCAGACAACAGCGGGGGGTGGGGGGGTCCCTATACTAATTGTGAGACTCCCTGAGAGTCAGATTTCACCAAAATATTTAATACCTATCAGTCTTTAACAAATACACAAATGGCACAAAAGCCATCTCTTTCTGTTAGGAACATTCAGCCACTTCAACACATTCCACAGGACCTCAGTGCCTGCTGCAAATTGCTGAACCAAAGCAACCTACTCAACCTAAGTCGTGATATAGTCACTGTGACTTCCAATCTTTCTTTGGTGACCTCTCAGGTACCTCCAATGACTTCCCAAGTATTAAATTCTGTTCTTAGGAAATCAATTTTGTTCCATTTAATTGAATTAAATCAGAGGGTGTTGAAAAGGGCTGAAAATTTCTGCCTCATATAGCTTCTGTCACGACTGAGATGCCACATTGGTTGACTGCTTTTTATGTTGGTGACTGTGTGTTTCTCCTTGTCATATAAGCATTCAGTGACAGAAAACATGCAGGACAGCAGAACTCAGTCTACAATGAGTAGACAAAAAGGGATACAGGCACAGCAACGAGCAGCTGGTATCCACAAGGTTCTCAGCATTATAAACTCTGGAGAAGGTGCTACTTCATGGCCTCAAGGAAATACATAAGGCAGAATGAAACACTTAAATAGTACTGTTCAAAAGACAACATGTTCACACTAAATAAGATTATACTTAGGATTTAAACTAATCCCTGAATATCCTTAATAACACCGTGGGGAAAACAGAGGGTGATGAGAACTTAAGCTTTCCGATTATCGCTCAAATCCTTTGAAATCTACAGGTGGTCAAATAAAATGAGAACTCAATAGTAATAACCCTTATTTCTGGCACCAGCATAAGGTGGTAGTGATTCTCAAGTTTAATATATTACATACGATACTATAAAAATAAGACTGAAGTTTTAAGAAAGTCCTTATTATTTTAGGAGGAGGGAGGTTTAAGCTTTAATACTCCGACTCTGGGCTTTTTGACAATAAAACACAATGGACCAAAAGCCCACGAAGGTACAACAAAGAGGTATACTAGTTCACAAAATAGCTGCAACATGCCAGAGGCACTTCAGGTACATTTCTGAAAACCACAGATCATTCAGATTCCCAAGAAAAAACTTTTCAGAGATTTGTAAGAGGAAGTGGTGACCTCTCTAAAAACATTCACGGATGGATATTACATCTTTCCCACTCTATTTTTGTTTGTGCCTTATCATTGAGAACAGGGCAAGGACAGGCACTGCTTTCTCCAGTCTTTTTTAAGCAAATGAGGGGATGCTATACCCCTGCATCAGTACTTCGTGGCTGAAAGCCCTCCCTCCGAAGGCTACCCATGTCAAAGCGGGTACAGACCTCACAGCGCACTAGTAACGTATCATCCTTAATGAAGGTTCTTTGTCTTAGGGCTTCTAAGTGCATAAAAGTTACATAACCAAACCCCTTTGGGTTCCGTGGGATTGTAGGTCGCTGGAAGGCAAGCAGCTCTGGTTTGGCATCCATGATCTCTTCATGGTTTTGCCTTATGGGTGTTTCGGACTGATCTAGAATTGTAAGGCGTATTGTGCCCTGGAAGGGCCAAGGCAGGTGGCTGTCATACTCTCCTTGCATTGTGTGGACAAAGAGGGAAATATAGTTTGCACAGCGCTGAGCACTTGGCAGCTGAAGGTGCAGGCGCATGCACAATTTGTAGCCGGGTCTGCCAGTGTAGAATCCGGGGCTATGAATGACAACAGGTTTCTCCTCTTCTTGGCATTTCAAGTGCATCCCAAAATTGCCAATCTTCCAGATGTAAATCCCATTGCACTCCTGTGCTTCCATTTCCGCAATTCTGTCCTCAAGCGTTCGAATAGTTCGTTTGAGCTCACCGACATACATGCTCTGAGTCTCCATTTTAGCAGTCAGTTCCCGGATTTGATGGTCTTGTCTTACAAGGCGACCCTCTAACTGTTGAATGGTTTCTTGGAAATTCTGGACCTCTGGGTGACACCCAGAAGACACTTGGGACAGAGGGGCAGAATCATATGGAAGTATATCACAATGAGGCACGGGAGTTAAAGCAAGGCTTAAATTCTGAACAGCCTGGGCCAACATTCTCATGTGTGACTGGGTATTCTCTTGCAGGTGGCGTGCCAAGTGATTCCTCTGCATCTACAAATCAAATACACAAGCCTTAGGTTGGGAACAGATACTGTGCAAACTAGGAACAGGATCTGGCCAGGCCAAATAAAAGGTTTTCACATAATGTCACCACTTCCCTCAATTTCCTACACCCTTCCTTTACCCTCATCAGACTGTCAATCCAATGAGATGATCTTGCCTCTTAACTCACTGAAAAATTGAGGCTATCTGATGAACACTCTCTCAGTTTTCACGCAGATAATCCTGCCCTCCCCCCACCCCCACACACCTTCAAAAGTATCAGTATCTACATCCATCTTCTCTTCTGACTCAGAGATGACACTCCTCTTGTCCAGGACTGACAGGTTACCTGTGTTCTAAATGGCACCCATCCCTTGTAACACCTCAGGTTTTACTATAACCCACTGCCATCGAGTCGATTCTGACCCTCCTCTGGTTAATGCCATTTTCTCTCTCTTTTACAGCCAAGAGTAGTCTACCTGCACTGTTCCTGATTCCTCATTTATTGTACAACTGTGTTGCAAACTGGAATCTTTTCTGACTCTATATATTCTAAGGTCATCAACAGTCTTCTAGTTATTACATGAAAAGTATTCCTGATTTAACGGTTTTATTATAAAAGCAACTCAGGTATATAACAGAAAAACAGAAGAGGGGATAATCGGGAAGAAAATACGTTACTCCTTATCCAACTACTGTTAACATTCTAAAATATTTCCTTCAAGTCTTTTTCTATGCACACGCAATACATAATTTTCCCACAAAACGTAACCATGCTTTAGATCATTCCGCTCATTTTATTTTTTAAATTATGAAACACATGCTTATTGTAAAGTCAGAAAAAAAGTTTAATGGAAAAAGTGAAAGTGCAGTCACTCTCACCGGACAAATGGACTTACAGTGATTGATCTCTGACATCTGATACAACCAATCACTGTGCTGAAACAAATTCTGGAGACTCTGACAATACTTTATCCTTGCCTGGTTTAAACATTTCTAACTCTCCACTCACGGCTCCCTTCCTTGTCTACTTCTCTTTCCTATATACACTCACTCTACATGATCTCAATCGCAGCTTATCACTATGAGTTAATGGCCTTCCAAAATCATTACTTTGAATCCCAACGTCCCTTCTGAGTTGAAGACTACACATACAACGCACGTCAGCCACCTCCACCCGAATGTTCCACAGCTGGGGGAGCTCGCACCTGCAACTCAACACCACTCAAACTGAATTCACTTTTTTCCACCTCCACCCAGTTCCTCTTCCAGAAACCAAGAGTCATTCTAGACGCCTCCCTCTCCTTCAGCCGTCATATCTCTGTAGTCACAAGGTCCCCTCCTAAATATGCAATGACTCCTAGATCTCTAGCTTCATTGTCGTCACCATAATTCATGCTGTCCTGATTCTGGACTTTGGTATTTCAACAGGTTCAGGTACTGTCAGCCCTAACCCCACCCTGTATCTTCTACACTGCTGCCAGGGTGAGTAAGATAAAACAAACTGCTCATAGTTACCAAAACCACCATGCTTTCTCTCTCGCCTATCTTCCTTCCCTTGCCTTCTTGGACAACTCCTTTTCATCTGTCAAGATTCAGCCCAAACATCCTGTTCTGTCCAGTTGGCCTGACTGCTTTAGGAGCTGCTAACTGCACCTTTGCTTCTGTTCATGGCATCCACATCTAACTTGATTACATACTTCCTCATGCTGTTTTATAAGTATTTACATCTCTGCTGGTATTCTCCATTAAGGTATACAACGGAAAAGTCCTGATCTGTATTTGAGAATTAAAAGAAAAACCTTTACCTTTTCAAGGCAACCAAAAGTACTGAATGCACATGGAATTGGGGCCGTAGGACAGTCCAGATCATAATGATTAGGCATCTGAAAACCAAAACAAAGGTTGAAAAATGTTTCCTCCTCTATATCATGTTCTAGTCTGATGAGCTCATACTTAAATAAAAGATTTACATTTCACTTAAAACTACTGGGTAAGCACACAGACTATAGGTGCTTTTGTGTCACAACAGCAGAGCTGAGTAGCTGTGACAGAAACCAGATAGTCCACAAAGACTAAACTATTTACTTTGAAAAGTCACAGAGAAAGGAAATGTCAACCCCTCACAGCGTCCCCCCCCAAATCACTACTCCAAACTTATTCAAGAAAATGAATCTGTTCCTATTGCTGAGAACCCGCACCCTCTAGTGGCGTTTTAGAGAAAACACACCTTCTGACTACAACTGCAAACTCGACCGGGACTCTTACTGTGTGTGATGTAATAAGAACCAGTCAAACGCAGGAGCCCTGGTGGCACAGTGGTTAAGAGCGCGGCTGCTAACCAAAAGGTCACCAGTTCAAATCCACCAGCTGCTCCTGGAAATCCTACTGGGCAATTCTACTCTGCCCTATTGGGTTGCTATGAGTCAGAATCGACTCAACAGCAATGGGTTTGGTTTTTTGGTTAGTCAACTGCATACCCTGAAGTCAATGACTGCACCCAATACTCATTTCATGACCACCTTTCCTAAATCTTTTTACATATTTGTTAACCTGGGCATGACTGGGCTACACTGGGGAGGCTTAGATATGACAAGGTGCTGCAAGCACATTAACAAAAGCTCTAAAGAAAGTCCCAGGCTTTGATTTGGGGAATCTAAAACAATTCTTTAAGATGAGATCCATTACACAGAATTACATTCTTTGAAAGTGGTACCAAATTCCCTCTAGAAATTTAGTTTGGCAATAGTTACAGAAATTCCAGGCAGAAACAACCTTAGAGACCATTTAATTCAATTTTACAAGAGGAAACTGATGATCTAGAACAGGGGACAGGAAAATTCTTTTGTAAAGGATCACATAGTTAAGTATTTTTGGCTTTGTGGGCCACATAGTCACTGTCCTAAGTGCTCAAGTCTACGACAGGGTACAGAAGCACAAGCAGCCATAAACAATTCTTAAGTACACAGGCATGACTGTGCTCTAAAAAAAAAAAGTGAAATTCACATAACAGAATTAACCACCTTGAAGCGAACAATTCAGTGGCATTTAGTACATTTACAGCGTTATGCAACCACCACCTCTTCTATCTAGTTCCAAAACATTTCCATCACCCCAAAGTAAAACCCATTACCCATTAAGTAGTTTCTCCCCACTCTCCCCAATCCAGTCTCTGGCAACCACCAATCTGCGCTCTGTCTGTATGGATTCATGTATTCTGGATATTTCATGTAAATGATATTATACAATGTGTGACCTTGTATGTCTAGCTTCTCTCATTTAGCATATTATTTTGGAGGTACATCCACATTGCAACATGTATCAGAACTTTACTACTTCGTTTTTTTTTATGGCTGAATAATATCTATCGTGTATGTACCACAATTTATTTACCCATTCTCCTGTTGATGAGACATTTGGGCCACTTCCACCTTGGCTATTGTGAACAGTGCTGCTATGAACTTAAACTCGGAAGGTAAGTTGAGACTCCAAGTAACGATCTGGGGAAGCCATTAACTCATGGTGATAGTTTAAGCTGTGACTGAGATCATATAGAGTCAGCGTGGGCAGGAAAGAGTGACTGTACATGCTATGTATACGTACTTGTGTGAGTCCCTGTTTTCAACTCCCGTGGGTATATACCGAGGAATGGAAATGTGGGGTCCTATAAAATTTTATTTAAAAAAACAAGTGGCAGGCTGGAGGTGGTTAGTGGGCCACAGTTTGCTGACTCTGATCTAGAATATAAGCTGCCTTGCTAGAGGTCAGAGAGCAAATCAGTGGCAAAGCCAGGGTCAAAACCTAGGTCTTCAGACCCTTGGCCTAGAATTTTTTTTCCTACACTAAACCTTGCTTCTGCTGGGTTTTAAATATGCTGCCTGATTTTTTTAAATATTAAAACCGAGAAAAAAGGAAAAGCAGGGAGGTGGGACTTCATAAGGAAAAAGAAGTTTAACACCTTCAAATCAAGGTTTTGTCTGCTGGAAAAAAACCGAGGGACTCTAACAGACAGATGGAAAAGTTTAGTCGAGTGACAGGTTTTGCTTGCTTCTGCTTATTAAGGTAATCAATAATGATCTCTGGGTTTGCAAACTTCAAGGGTGTATTAATATTTAGTGACTAATTTTTGTATTTCGTGGGTGAACTCCCCAAATGTCACAAGATAGCCATCAGATGGAATTTTCCTTTCTCTATTGATAATCAAAACGTATCGTTTGCTATTATAATTCTCCTTGTGATAATGCTCAACCAGTGGCCCACAGCACAATGGAGCAGAGGGTCTACAGATCCCGAAACTCTCAAAATCTCCCCACACACCTCGGGGGCTACAAAGGACATTCTACTACTGAAGAGACTGGTTTTCTTCTGTTGCACTGGTACTCTTCGGCTAGTTTCTGGACACCTGTGATCCTCATTTTATAATGTGTAAATGTGTATTTCCCAAAGTTTTTCTTTCTCTAAATGGGGACCTTTACTTGCAATCATTTTTATCTTAAAATTACCTTCTTTAGTTGGAATTTACATGAATATACATAAACATGGAGATTATGTTAGTTAATGACAGGAATTTTAAGTACTTAAAAAGGACTGTTTGTTCTTTCTGAAAGTATTTTTTAATTAATTTATATTAAAAAGTCCACACAGTTCTAACATTTTCAGTCTATATTCATTTTACCTTATTGATGTAAATTTTCAATTTAAAAAACGAACTCACTTCTTTAAGCTATTTATAGAAATAATAATTTATAAAAAAGAATCACTATACCTGTTCTCTGATGAGCACGGTATTGCAGTATTCACAGATGACATTTGCCAAAGGACAGTTCTGGTCATGGATCTAAATTTTATTAGAGAAATGTAATAAGAGTATGAGATAATCTGAAGAAGTAAAATAACCAACTTTTATAAGTAAGTAAAAGTTTTTCACTACGAACAAATTAAGGACATCGATTTGTATAAAGCAAAGATGTGAAAATACTATATAAAGGTTAGTTTCCTTTGCCAGTGTAGTAATAAGATTCATCCAGCCTTCCAGCTCTTTAAAAGAGCATGAGAGTAGGCAAAAGAGAATCTTCTAAGTCACTTCCTTTCCAGCTGAGGCAGAGCATCTGTGACTACATAGTTTGGAGGACGCTGCCAATACTATAGTCCTCCAAAGGCACTCTTGTTCCAAAAATTTCCAGCAGCAGCATGATGACTTAATTAGAACCCTTGTCAGGAGGGTTGAAGAACAAAAGCATTATTAGGGTGTGAGGCTTTGGTGCCCAGGTTCTCATATGCCCCAGGTGTTCTAGACCACAATGACTTTAGTTTAGCTGATATGCTAAGAAATAGTTAGCCTTACAAGTTAAATCAAGTTCATCTCATTTACTCAAGTTTAGAAAGGGCATGCCAATTTAATTATGACTCCAGTCTTCCTTATATCTTGAGCAAGTTAGCTGATTCTTTTTAATATCTCATGAAGTTATTGAGTATAATAAGTTTGATCTCATAGGAAAGTAGGAAAAATTATCAATATAAATTTATAAGGACATATCTAAGTAATGGTTATAAAAGAATATAACTTATATGTAAGTTATATTAGTAAAGAGGACGCACGATGGGGATTCAGGGACTAGGATCATAGTGCTAGCCAAGTGAAGCACAGTGTTAATACACAATCACTTAACCTCTTTTTATCTCAGTGTCTGAATGGAAAAACTGTTCTATCATAACAACGCTGTCAGGCTCCATGAAGTTTCTTTTTTAAAAATAAACTTTTTAATTGAAGTATTACATATATACAGAAAAGTGCACACATTATAAGCATATAGCTCCAAGAGTTATCACAAAGTGAGTTATCACAAAGCGACACACTTCACAGGGTTTACTTTATGCTCTGTAAGAGTTTTAATGACCCATTCTCTTTTTCAAAATAATTCTGTGTAATTTTTATACAGTAATTACTCAATTTATTTATCTTCACTCCAAGACTGGTCATTAAAATTGCACATGAGAAAGTAGACCAGCATATGCCTTTCCTGGTAGCTTTTGTTACTTGCAGAGCTACAAAAGTATTACAGTGTTTTCTAATACAGACATGCAAATGTAAGTCCAACACCGATTTACTAATGTGCTTTATTGAACTGTCTCTCTAAAAAATCAGTTTTCCCAAAATTGATAATGTTGTCTCAGAGTTGGAGTAACAGCCTCATATACTACTGATCCCCTGAAATATTTACTTCTCTAAAAGAAAGCATTTAAAAGTATTGGAATTAACAAATCCAAGCGAGTACATGCCTCTTTATCTTCAAATGCCATTAATATAGCACAGTTCACACAAGAAACCTGTCTCCTTGGACACTCCGTGAGAATGTGAATATTAAGATGGCATTTTTGGAAGGGACGCTGGCATTGGGGACAATCCATAAGAGCAAACTCACAATGTGCTTGATGATCCTATAATAAAGAAAAAATAATGAGTAAGTTTTTGCCAATTTTGAAGAACTCTCCTAAACATAACCTTTTAAGAATATTCTCTTTTACAGACTTGGCTACTGAACCCTACTTGTTGAGTACACAGCACACAGCAATTCACAATGTGAAGGCCTTTATGAATTTCTTGCAACTAATCATTGTGATTTGAAAATTTATATGAAGAATGTGAACTCTCAAGTTCATGCATCCATTTAGGAAAAGAGGGAGTTGGAAAGAAGTCACATTTCCTGATTGTCAATTTAGTAGTGTGCCAAAAGGGCCATTGCTTCATAAGGATCTAAGAGGACAAGTTGCAAATTTGTCCTAAACATTTAACTTCAAGTAGAACATCAACAATATTTAATTCCTGGTTGACAATCACCAAAGTAAGAATTGATTTATTTAATTTAAAAGAAAACTCTTTTATTACCTGACTACTTCCAGTAATCTCAAGCTATAGGACTCCATTTAGTTAATAATAAAACGCACAATTTAGAAAAAACAGAGAAAAAAAAATATAATGAAGTTACTGAGATGATGGCGACATACGAATTGTTATTTCAAAAGGAATTTATAGGATTAAAAGGTGGTACTTTTATTTAAAATACTCTTACTCAGTTTTACTGAAGATAATAGTCACCTCAAAAAGCTTGTAGAATACTGATATTGTTTTTATTATCACTGGGGCAAAGCCACAGTAGATGAAAGAAGAAATTTCTGGTTTCTACTTACATTTATATTCAATAATCAAAGGGTGAGTATTCATTTGGCAAGCATTTATTAACTAATTTCTATATGCTGTTGTTGGTTGCTGTCAAATCGATTGCGACTCATGGCAACCCCGTGTGTGCAGAGCAGCACTGCCCCATGGGGTTTTCAAGGCTATGACCTTTTTAGAAGCAGATTGCCAGGCCATTCTTCCAAGGTGTCTCTGGGTGGGTTCAAGCCACCAACCTTTCAGCTAGTAGTCAAGCACTTAACCGTTTGTGCCACCCAGGGACTAGGCACTGTCAACTCACAGATGGAGACAGCAAAGTCCCTGTACTCTAGGAACTGCCTTGCATATACGGTAATGGCTAGAAAAATAGCTCTAATACCTCTAGATGCCTCAGTTCCATCTTGTGCAAACAACCTGCATTTGGACACTTCACCCTCAGAGAAAGAATCTCTCGTTTTGCAAAATTATCAGGAAATAGTTGATTTTCCAGCAGTATTTCATTGTCGACTGGACATTTGTGACCAGCATCCCTAAAAGAAACAAATAAAATATGTACATTTAGTTGTTTTAAATAAACATTTACATTAGAAAATCCAAACAACTTTAATTCATCACATATAAATCTTCCATTTATTATTTCCTGTGGAAGAATAATTTAACACATTACATTGACTAATATCACCAAAATAAAATGTACACAAAAGAAATGAGTACAACTAGCATTATATTCAGTTACCTGCCAAAAGTGATGGGATTTTTAGATTGTGGAACAGATTCCAATGAAAAAATGAGAAAAAGTAATTGAATAAAATACTATTTTGATTGACATAAAGTGAAGTGAAAGCTGCTATTGCTAGCTGCTGTCCAGCTGGCCCCCACTCATGGCGACCCCATGCACAGAGAATGAAACGCTGCTTGGTCCTGTGCCATCCCCATGACCACTTGCGGATCGGATAGTTGGGATCCACAGGGTTTTCACTGGCTGATTTTTGGAAGTAGATCACCAGGCCTTTCTTCCTAACCCATCTTAGTCCAGAAGCTCTGCTGAAAGCTCCTCAGCATCATAGCAACACACAAGCCTCCACTGACAGACAGGTGGTGGCTGCCCATGAGGTGCGTTGGCCAGGAATTGAACCCAGGTCTCCTGCATGGAAGGCAAGAATTCTACCACTGAGCCACCGCTGTGCCCCCTAAGTGAAAGTTAAGGATGGAACTGTGGCAGTCTGGTTGGCCTCTACTTTGTCAACAGCTGTACAATATACTTCTAAGATAGAACCACATATGCTGTTCACAACCTTTGTAACATGTCTATAGCATATTGTTCAGTCATAAATAAATATTTTAACTAATTATCAATAGCCTTCATGAGGCCATGTTTTAAGGGTTTCTCTGAAACAGTCACTACAACACTGTGACCCGTGGACAACAAAGGAGGTTCCCTTTATTTGGAAGTCTAGGGTGTGATGTCATAGGGAGTTAAAGGACCTGTGTGTCCTGCCTCACAGGGGTTTATTCCACCTTATATAGAAAAAACCATCCACAGGAAGCCTGGGTGTCTGTCATTCCTCTCTGCCTTTTTGAGATGTCTCAATCTTCACTCATAAAACGTGGGCCATCAGGTAAGCTACCGGGGCAGTAATCATTCACTCAAACATCTATGAGCACCTCCACTCAAACATCTATGAGCACCTCCCATGTGGGAGCCAACAGTGCTAGCTGCTGTGGTAGGTAAAAAGGTGACTAAAAACTGGGCTGTGCCCTCAAATGACTTATAACTAGTAAAGCTGAGAGAGATGTTCAATCTCTATGGGGCCTCTCTCAGACTGCATGTTATTCTTACACTGTCAAATGTCAACTATTTTCTGAAAAGCACAGAAAGCCACAGAAAAATTTATTGAAATATGTACCCAAAACCTAAGTGATGCAAGTCTAAGAGAAAAGAAGAAGAGCCTTACAAAGTAAGCTGAAAGCCATTATCCACAGCATGATGAATCACTTCAAGAGAAAATGAATTGGCTGGAGAGGAACTGTGACCCCTGGATGACCATAACTGATGAGCAGTCCCACAGCAGCTTCCTTAAGAACGTTAGAGCCAAAGTCAGTGGTCATTTTTAGCTTAAAGGGAGAAAGAAAAAAAGACTTGGACTTCCTTTTGTGGGTTTTACTTCCCTTTTAGACCACTGTCCTGCTATTCTCATGAATATCTTGCTTTTAAAAAACTGCTAAAGATTAGCTATCTTCCTGGGCATGGATGATGTGGTAAAATACTATACATCTCAAGCGACAGGAAAACCAAATATCCATAATATGGTGCCATTTTGACCTAACCCGTTAACTCGTTGCCATCCAGTCAATTCTGACTCATAGCGACCCTACAGGACAGAGCAGAACTGCCCCATACGGTTTCCAAGGAGCAGCTGGTGGATTCGGCCTGCCAATCTTTTGGTTAGCAGCTGAGCTTTTAACCACTGCATCGGAAAAAAAACAACAACATTATAAACAGAAAAAAAGCTGAGCTGCAACAGTACTCTGATGTGTGCCCTGAACCAGTTGTCCTTCCCCAGGGGCGATTCTGCCCAGAGGACATTTGGCAATGTTTGGAGACATTCTGGGTTGTCATAATAGGGGTGGGAGGGGTAGTGAGCTACTGGACAGAGGTCAGGGATATCCTACCATGCCTAGGACATTCTCTCACAATAAAGAATTATCCAGCCTCAAATGGTAATAGTGCCAAGGCTAAGAAACCTTACCCTAAACAGATCTCTCCAATTCACCACTGGGTAGTACACTTTTCCCCACAACACTGAAACAAGAGACATGCCCCTAATAATTTAAATTATGCCATGCATGGATATAATTACCCTAAATTCAAGTTTTATAGAAAAGGTAACATAAAAGTTTAGAGATAAAAACTTACTAAGACTAATGAACAGCTGGAGATGGACTTAACCTACTTAAGAATGATTCTATCAATGTGATTAGATGCTTATTAAAGAACATAAAATTCCCCCACTTCTCTTTTTTTTTTTTTTTTTCCCTATATAGAACTTCTTAGTCAGCTGAAAATATTCCTTTCTGAGTTATTTCTACCTCTGAATTTCTCTCTACCTCTGTCTTGGAAGAAGTATAACCAGAACGCTCCTTAGATGCAAGGATGGCAAGACTACGTCTCACGTACTTTGGACATGTTATCAAGAGGAACCAGTCCCGGGAGGACATCATGGTCGGCAAAAAAGAGGCAGACCCTCAACGAGATCGACTGACATAGTGGCTGCCAACAATGGGCTCAAGCACAACAACGAATGTGAGGATGGCACAGGACCAGGCAGTGTTTCATTCTGTTGTACATAGGATCACTGAGTTGGAACCAACTCGACGGCACGTAGCAACAACAACCACCTCTGAATTATAGTAAAATGTATTTCTTAGATGAATTTGAACTATTTATGGAAATCCCATGTACCTTCATTCAGTTAAAGCAATGGAGTTACTGAGCATCTACAATGTGTCAGGCACTGTTCCCAGCCCTTGGGAAGTATTAAGGAATAAAACAGACCTGAACCCCTGCTCTCCAGAAGCTTATCTCCCAATGGAACAAGCAAACAATAACCACACCAATTATCTGATATTTTAAGCAGTGAAAAGTGCTAAGGAAAAAAGAAAAGTAGAGTTTGCCAAGGGAGATCAGGAGCGTTGCGGGAAGAGTGGAGGTACGCTGTAGTATGAATGAACAGGGTCTCCTGGGAGAAGGTGAAGTTTGGGCCACACTTGAGGGAGTTAAGAGAGTTAGCTAAGCCATTAGCTGCAGCAAAAGTATTCCAAGCAGAGAGAAAAGCTTGAGTCAAGGCTCCAAGGCAGGAGCATGCTGGCTGGCATGTTCAAGGAAAGAATGCAGAGGAGGTCAGAAAACTAATTAGGAGCCAATCATGCAGGGCCCTACTAGGACTTTAGCTTTTACTCCCAGGTGACCCACTGCAATGCTTTCAGCAGAGGTGATACGGCCTCATTTACTTTGCCAGGTTTATTCTGGCTGCTGAATTGTGAACAGAGTAGAGGAAGACAAGAGCAGAAGCAGGGAGGCCTGTTAGACGACTAGTACCATAATCTAGGTGAGACCTGATGGTGGTTCGCAAGAGGGTGGTAGCAGGGGAGGCAGGGAGAAGGGATCAGATTTTGTATATTATGATGGTAGAGTCAGCAATTGATACTCTCTGAAAAAAAAAAAAATACTGGTTATTTTACTGTTATTTCACAGTAAAATGATGGTGACAGAGTTCAATGTGGTTGTAATTCAGAATAACTGATCACTTAAAGAGTCAGCTTCCGTTGTATGACTGAGATTATTATATTCTAGTAGCACCACCATTTAAGGTATGTTTATTTCATATTATTTTCTTAAAGCATAGAAACTCACCCCCTAGTCTGCACTGGAACTGCTTTAAGCAGAAGTATCTATTCACTGATTCATGTTCTCTATATTAGCTTCTGTTACAGGCTACCACCGTTTCTTATGCTCACGTACCTTATTGATTTGGTGATGCAGGCTTTGCAGAATCTATGGCCACATGGTGTTTGCACTGCTTCCCGTAATGCCATCAAGCAGATAGGGCATTCGTACTTGCTTTCCAGGGGTGGGTCAAACTCCACATCATACCCCTGGATCTCTTCCATAAAGGAACTGGAGAGGTTCCCGGTGCTGGTGGTCCCACTCACACTGTCATCTTTGGCTGCAACGCTACAGGAGCTGGCCATGGCAGCACAACAGTCACTGTCGGGCTGGCTGGATCCACAGCTGTTTTCACAGTTTAGCACACTCATAGTAACTTACCAACTGCTCTGAAAAAACAGTAAGAAAAAAAAGCCTTAACATGCTGTTGTTAGTTGTCTTCAAGTCGATTTCGACTCAGCGACCCCACGTGTGCAGAGTACAACTGCTCCATAGGGTTTTCAAGGCTGCGACCTTTCAGAAGCAGATTGCCAGGCCTGTCTTCTGAAGCAGTTCTGGGTGAGTTCAAGCTGCCAACCTTCTGGTTAGTAGTCAAGTGCTTAAATATTTACACCACCCAGGGACTCCTAACATACGTATACATATGTACGTACGAGTACATATGCATATACCCATCAACTAAAAAACTATACAGATAAGCTGTATCTATATAAGCTATAATCTACATAATACCTATAATAATTTTATAAATATGATAGCTTATCTATACAGCCTTTTACTTGACAGCTATATACATTAGCTGTGCTAATGTTATTTACAGAAAACTTTTAAAGTTTTTTGAGCTTTACTTTATATAAATACTATTTTACGTAAGTTATTTGATTCTTACCTTCAATAATTTATAATATATACCATCCTCTGTGCAAAGCACCTGGAACACACAAAGAAGCCTGGGTCCCTTAAGGAGTTTATGGTCTAGTAGAAAGACAGAATATAAGGTTAAGAAAAGTACTTTGATTATAATATTCATCTATATCATAATTATGTGTTTAAATGTCAGTTTCCTGTGAATGAAGTCAGGAACTTAATTTTCATTTTCATACTCTTAGTACCCAACACAAGATCTTTCACATAATACCACCAGTTGTTGCTGAGTCTGTTCCAACTCATGGCAACTTTATGCGTGTCAGAGTAGAAGTGTGTTCTGTAGGGTTTTCAATGGCTGATTTTTCGGAAGGAGATTGCCAGGCCTTTCTTCTGAGGTGCCGCTGGGTGTAAATGAACCTCCAACCTTTTGGTTAGCAAAAAGCACGTTAACTGTTCGCACTACCCAGGGACTCCCTTTCACATAACAGGTGTTCATTAAGCACTGGCTGAAGAACTCAATCATGTTGCTGGAGTTCCTTCAAGCGTTCTGAGCTGAAGAAAATAGTACAAGAAGGGCAGTGCTGGAAAGAGCAGTGGACCAGGAGTCAGGTGATCATGTACCACTATCAAATGTGTGATTTGGGGCAAGTTTCTTCCTGTTTCTTCTTCTTGATCTGTAATTCTGTATGTACTTCCAAATACTTAAGGTGGGGATTTTTATTATGTGGAAAGAATGGAGTTTAAAAAGTATATTTTTATATCCTTCTGCCCTTCACTACAGTCAAGTGACTCTGTTTCATTATTAACAACTGGAAAAACAAGCAAGGTTTCGTTTGCCTATGGAAAACAACTGCTTTCATCGGTAGGGGGGATGCCTTCAAATTCTAAACCGTTATGGTATTTACAAGTGGGAAGTTAATGTCTGAATGCAATTCAGAAATTCCTAATATGTGCCACATTCAGTTCTAAAAATAGAATGTAAGCTCCCCAGTGAATATGGTAGACTATTAATTCCCCTGCCTGTTTCTTTTAATATAAAAGGCGTTGCTGCCAACTTGTTAAATAGAGGGTTAAGACAGTAGTCCTCATCTTTTTACCACTACAGATATCTTTTAATTCTCCCCCAAAAGATTTTATCTGAGTACCATTTACTGAGAGAGGCTGTACTATGAAGTGATCCTGGAATCAGATGATGTGGATTTGACTCCTTTCTCCATCACTTGCTGTGTGACCTGGGCAAGTTAGATAACCTTTCTGTGCTTTACTTTCCTCATCTGTAAAATGGGGATAACAATAGAATCCACCTCAAAGCTACTGAAAGGATTAAATGTCTTAATATGTATAAAGAACTTAGAACTGTGCCTGGCATTAGAGTTATTATTACATGCAGTCTGATGTATTATTTCATTTAATAGTTTTATTGTCCCCATTTTACGAAAGTAGAAACTATGGAGTGTAGAAAGGTTATGTAACCAGGATTACCCAACTAATAAGTAACAGAACCGGGATCAGAACTCCAGTCTACCTGACCCTGGAGCCTGTGCACCTTGTACCATGCTATTTTTGTCTCTGTGTTTTGACGGATTTGTCTATTTAGCTGCATTTAAATTTTATTTCCTTTTATTTTTATTATACTAGATGAAGCTGCTGACCACAGTTTCTATTAAACATGAGTTGTTCGGCGTTACTATGCTGGGATGGTAGAATTCCAAAGAATCAGCAAAGAAACTTGGCATTTTGTTTTATTTATTTAGTGTCGATACAGCATTTTTAAAATGTTTAAATTAGCTCCCAAAGCCTTGTTATTGCTAATGTGGACTCCAAGGGATGGCTCATTACAGGCAAGAGGAAGGAAGGTTATAGCAAGATAGCAGGCCAAGAGCAGAAGCACTCATTACAGCTGCTCCTCAGGGTGGGTTCTAAGGCTCCCACTGTACCCTTAGACTGAGGACAGACGGTACACTAGGGGTTATACCCTTTGTTATTTTTCTTGGCATATACATTTGTGTCCAATTACTTCTTTAGGTAAATTTCCTAGAAGTGTAACCGGTGAGTCAAAGGGTATGTAATTTTTTAAGGTTTTTGAAAGGTAATGCTGGTTTTTTCCAGTATGTATCACAGGCTTTCTCATGCCCACTCTCACAAGCACAGCGTAGATAAGAAGGCCCACTTTGTACACCACCAGGTATATTTTCTTTTAAATCTTTGACCATTTTATTTAAGTGAACTTGCTTTTGAGAAATTAGTATTTAAGTTATTTCTCTGTACAGCATATATCAAAGTGCTAGCTAGAAGACAAAAGCAAAAGTTACTGAGCTAAGTCTACTTTTTCTGTCCAAATGGTCGTTTTAAAATTCAACTTACTGGATATTCTATAGCTGCCCTCTTCCAGTCCAGTTCAAAAGACTTGAAGGTTTTCAGAGGCAAAGAGACCGTTTATACTTTATAGCAAATGTGTTCCTAAGAAAACTTGTCTAATCAGTTACAATTCCTTAAAAGGAATTCCATTGTAGGTACACAGTTTAAAAACATAAAAATGAGTGCACTTAAAAATCAAGATGCCTTTAATTTCCATATTACTGTCATATTTTAAGAAAAAATGCAGAAGTTCTATATCCTTAAAATAAACTGCCATACAGTCACCTTCTAAGTGTACAGTATGAATCTACTGCAAAGAGAAAATTAAGCTAAAAACAGTATTTTGAGTGCCATTCAGTATTTTTTTTTTTTTTTTATGTTTACTTTCTTTGGCAAGTTGAAACATTTTTTTACCTTACTTTTAGTCTTTAAGTGAAGGCTGCTTTCCTAATTAAGTACAATGAAGAGCTATTGCATCAGCTATACAAGTGAGTAGAAGATCATCTGGCATCCATGCAGAAATTAAGACTCTGTCAGGATTCTTTTGAATGTCTTACTGCGCCACATGATGACTTCATGACATGCTACAAAAGGAGACTTACACTGTAACTGACTTCACACAAGATAAAATAAATGAGAATATGCTTTCTTACCTTTAAAATGAAGGTTTGTTAAGGTCCTCATTCTACTCTAACACTGATTTTATGTGCCTCTCTACATGTATTAATAGAAGGAATGAAACAAATTTTAGATGTTTCCTTACCTTGTAGACTAGGAACTTCTTGATTGCAATTCCTCTTGTGTTTAACTGTGAATCTAGTATGGCAAGCACTGCCTTAATTACATATTGTGGGATATAACAAGTGCCAACTTATTTTGACGGCAAAATGAATGAGTGTCAAAAATAGCCTTGTCAAAAATCATGGCTTAAATTCACCCATTAGTATCTGGGTATAATCTAAAGAGTGTGCTGTAAGATTTTGCAGGAATGGGAAGAGTAAGACAATGCAAAAAACATCAGCAGGTGTTAACATAACAAATGTGTCAAGCTAAAGAAATCTACAAGTTAGATCTTGAAATAGTCAATTTTAAGTTAACTAAAACTCACACATGGCTAAACACATATACAACAAAACTATGTAAAACAAAATGCTAGAAATTACCTTTAATTTGCCACTAGCTTTAGAAACAGCAACTATTTACCAATTCCTTAAATTTTATTCCTAACATGCAAAGACTTGCAAACGTGTACAAACAGAATATTTAATTGTGGTGCCTTAATTTTGAACCCTGAGCCCTGGTGGTGTAGTGGTTAAGAGCTCAGCTGCTAACAAAAGGTCAGCAGTTCGAATCTGCTGGCTGCTCTTTGGAAACCATATGAGGCAGTTCTACTCCGTCCTATTGGGTCGCTATGATTTGGAATCGACTCAACTGGCAAAGGTTTTTTTTTAAATTTTGAATCCAAGGAATTCCAGCATTCCCCTTCCTAGACACTATTTGATCTCCTTCAGGAGGCAAGGATTGGAAGTTCTTTCAAAGCGATCCAAGAGGCCAAAATTTTATCAGCATCACATATTTAAACTTATCACAGAAAACACCTCAATTTACAATTTTGAAATATTGTGATGTATACAGTGCTTGTGGGTTGAAAGTGTGATGTGATCCCTGTGCCCATCACATGAGCAACAAGTGCATGAAACATATTTCTTCCTTGAGTCACAAGAGGCCACTGTCCTTACTCTCCTGCCCCAACTGAAAATCAGAAAGGCCTCTTCTATCTTCTCTAGTAATCACAAGAGAATGAATTTAATGTGGCCAGGTTCACAAGGCCGGCACTTGGCATTTCCTTACAAGTTTCTCTCATTTCCATACCTATGTAGTGGGACATTTAGCTATCTGCTTTCCCCAGAAAAGAAACATGCAAAATTAATATTCCTCCAAGCTACTAATACTTTAGGTGCTTTCTGTTCACATTCAAGACGGTCCTCTCAGCTGGAGTTCCTCTAGAGCCAAATACTAGGAACAGCTTTATCAACCCGACGTCTGGAACACTCGCTACAACTACCGAGTGCAGGGGCGGGGGAGGAAATATCTGTGCCATTTAAATTTTTTTTTTTTTTTTTTAACTTGCTGCCTAGGACTTATACCGAGTTCAACAGGGAACCCCAAAGTAACTTTCCCATGATAGTGACAGAGGAAGTCGGTGGGAACCTGAAAGGGGTTTTCTTAAAAGCTGGTAACAGCTCTCAAGGACGGAAAAATCCTGGAGGCAGTTTCGTTTTCTGGGAAGGGGAATACGAGGGGAGGGGGATGCAGGGCCGAGGAAGCTGGGCTCGGGGTTCCGTCCGAGGAGTGCAGAGAGCGCGGGAGGCGGTGGTCCGCCAGGGGAGCGGAGCCGAGGGAACAGGGGGCTGAGACGCCGACCTATAAGAAGAGAGACGGGGGCGACGCCTCCAACCTGTGGGAAGCAAACGGAGAAGGAACAGCGCCCCCAACCTGTGGGAAGCAAGAGACAGGAAGCAGCGTCCCGACCCTGTGGAAGCGAGGCCGCGGCCGCCGGGAGGAGGCGTCCGAAGGAGACTCACCGCTCACGTCTGCTGGACCGGGGATCAAGGAAAGCAGGGCTCGACTGGACCGCCCGACTCCGCTCAGTCAAGGCGCTGAGAGAATACAGCACCGCGCTCCTAGCCGAAGCGGCCCGGACGCCAGTCTCCCGGCCCCAAGGCCACCGCCACTGCATCCGGGGCAGCCCGGAGCCCGAGCCCGAGCCACGGACTCTCCTGCTTCCGCCTTCTCTGCTGGCTGGGCCCGCCGAGACGGGAGGAGCGGGCAGGCAAGGAGACAGAGCGGCCGAGCCGGGCGTGCGCGCCCCCGGGCGGCGGTCCTCCACGAGCGCAAAGGCTAAGGCGCAGGCTCGACGCAGAACAGCTGTCAATCCAGCTCTCTCTGGTTGGGCTTCCCTCCGGCTCGAGTTTCCCACCTGGGAATTCCTTACACCGCCATCAGAACTGCAGTGTGTGGTGTGTGGTCAGCAGCAACGACAGCAGTACCCCCAAACTATATTTTTATAGGCTCCCTATCCAAGCAGGAGAAAGCCCTAACTGGGCTGAATCACTTGACCTTCGGGACTCTTAGATCCCTCCCTAGCCCCAACTTCCTTGCCAAGGAAATTTCTGTGAGAGGTAGAATTCTCTATTATCATTTGGTCCTTCCTCTTCATCCAGTCCAAGCGAGTCAGCCTAGGCACTAAACATTTCTTTGAAACTGCTGCCAACTACACCAGCCTTTATCTGTCATTGTCATGGGAAAGTTATTTTGAATTTCCTGTTTAACTGGAAGTGCCTAGGGAATGTAACAGGCACTTTGCCGGAGACTGCGCAAAAGATTTTCATCCACTATAGGGTCACTATGAGTCGTAATTGACAGCAATGGGTTTGTTGGTTTTTATAGGGTCGCTATGAGTCAAAATTGACTCGTTGGCAATGGATTTGGCTTCTTCCAGTTTGGTTCATCGTCTGCTTCTTACGGGAGTTAAGTGTGTATGTCCAGAAACCAGAGCGCTTGGTTTAAATCCAGTTTGATAACAAACTGCATGACTTTAGGTAAATTATCTAATCTCTAATTGTTTTAATTTTCTCATCAGTAAGATTGGGATAGTAATAGTATCTGCCTCATAGGGTTGTTCAAAGGATGAGATAATTTAAATACATGTACATAAATTATTTAAAAGTATCTAGGACATGGAGTCCTGATTGCACAGTGGTTAAGAGCTTGGCTGCTAACCAAAAGGTCAGCAATCCACCAGCTGCTCCTTGGAAACCCTATAGGGCAGTTCTAGCCCATCCCTAAGAGGTAGCTATGAATTGGAATCAACTTGATGGCAATGGTTTGGGGTTTGGTTTTGGTTTATCTGGGACATAGGGTGTGCTCACTAAATGTTAACGATAATGTATTTACTGTTTTCTGGCAGCCAACATTCACAGAAAATGCGTATCTTTTCCAGGTAAGAACAAATCACTGGTTCTCAGACTCTATATGTCCCTCTTTTTTTTTTTTTTTTTTTTTAACTGTATTTTGAAATATTTAAGAATTATACAACTGACATCTGTGAGCTCACCACCCCGTTTAAGGAATAAAACATTGTGAGTAGAATTGCCTGTGTATTCCTCCCCAGTACCCTCCTTATAAAAATCATCCCTTATGGGATGGAAAAGGGATCATTGTGTAAAACTGAGATGGAAAAATAGGGAGAGTAAGGGAGTCAGAGGCCCTGGTGGTGCAGTGGTTAAAGTGGTTGGTTGCTAACCAAAAGGTCTGCAGTTCGAATCCACCAGCCACTCCAGGGGAGAAAGATGTGGCAGTCTGCTTCCATAAAGATTACAGCCTTGGAAAACTATGGGGCAGTTCTACTCTGTCCTATAGGGTTGCTATGAGTTGGAATCAACTTGAGGGCAATGGATTTAAGGGAGCTAGAATTCCCTTTGCTTACTAGTGTGAGATTTGGGGTGCATTATGTAACCTCCATAAGCTTCAGTTTACTAAACAGGTGGTTAAAAAAAAAAGGATGATATCTATCTTACAGGGCTATTGTCAGCATCAGCTAAAATAAAAAATGTATGTAAGAGAACCCAGTACTGGGCTGGGCTTCAAAAGGATTAGGTGTTCTATGTGTGCTTTCTCTTTTCTTTACACTATTTTCATAACTATTCTAGAGGGCGTCCTCCTATCTCTACAAATCATATCTATTCTTCACTACCTGATTCATGGTGGAGAGTTTTAGTGCTCACCCATGCCCTGGAGACACAGGGAACTTCTACTTCCTTGTCTTCTTGCAGTCAGGCAGAGCCGTATGACTAGTTCTGGCCTGTGGACTGAGAGGGGAAGGGATGCCTGTCATTTCTAGGACAAAGCATTTAATTTTCATTGAAAGATTCTCTTGTGTGGCAACCAAGGAGGCCATGGGGCAGTGATAGTAGGGTAGAAGTGGATCACTAAATTGCTGTATAGAGAACAGCTGCCTTGGAAATTCAAACCACCTGCATGAGACTTTGTATAAGCAGGAAACAAATCCCTGCTCATGTTTTAAGCCATTGAGATGTTGGGTTTGTTTTTTCTGCAGCATAACCCAGCCTATCCTATGCACAGTTCCTCCTTGAAGTCTTCCCTGATGACTTGTACTCCCATTGGACTAGGAATCAAAAGACCTAAATTCTAGTCTGCCTCTTATTAAAACAGGGACGCAGTAAAGAGTCCTGACCTACAAAACTGGAATAAAATCTACCCTGTCTTCTTCTCAGAGCTGTTATGAGTTAAAAAGAGATGATTTATGAGAAGATGCTTTGGAAACTAGGAAATCCTGCAGAGATGGAAGGAATGGAATATTCTGATTTGTGGTTATCTCATAGGTACAGCAACCACAATGCCCAGGTTTTCTGAAATGCTCCCGATTGAAAATATTTCATCCAGTTGTCCTTATAAGTAAGTCAAATGTCTGTTAAAATACAGTCACAATATCATTCCTGGATTGCTGTTTTTCAAGAAAATAAAATGAAATAGTATATACTTTGTAGGCTTTTGGGGCGGGAATAAGGGGAAGATGATAGATTCTTCTTCAAACAGTTGGAAATAAGATGACTCTCTAAGAATTAAACTATAAAATTAAAACCCAATTCGTTAGTTTCAAACACCTTTCTTGAACAACCATTACGTGTGTGTGGTAAACAGTCTCCAAGATAGTAGCTGTGCCCTTGTATAACCCCTTCCAAATGAATAATGCTGACTTGTGTAACCAATAGAATATTGTAGAAATGACCGAATGTGACTTCCTAGGCTAGCTCATAGTAGACACTTCGGCTTCTATCTTGCTCTGTCTTGAATTACTTGCTCTGAGGGAAGTGAGCTTCCTCATCATGAGGACACCTAAGCAGCCCAATGGAAAGGCCCATGTGGTGAGGAACTGAGCCCTCCTGCCACTAGCAGGGAGGAGCTGAGGCCTGCTTCCACGCCTTTTGAGTGAGCCACCTTGGAAGTGGATCCTCCAGCCCAAGTCAAGCCTTTAGTTGACTGCAGCACCAGCTGACATCTTGACTGTCACCTTAGGAGAGACCTTGAGCATGAACCAGGCAGCTAAGCGGACCTATAGAAATTGTAAGATAATAGATGTTTGTTATTTTAAGCCTCTAAATTTTGAGTAATTTGTTCCAACACAGCAATAGATAACTAATAGAATGTGTTAGCCACTATTCTAGGCCCAGGAGATACAAGGGTGAATAAAACAGGTTCTTTCCTTGTGGGAGCCCTGGTGGTCTAGTGGTTAAGAGCTTGGCTGCTTGGCAGTTTGAATTCACCAGGCGCTCCTTGGAAACCCTATGGTGGGACAGTTCTTTTCTGTCCTATAGGGTTGCTATAAGTCAGAATTGGCTTGACAGCAACATGACTTTTGTTTTTTTTTTTCTCATGGGACACACATTTCAGTGGGGTATAGGGACAGACCATAAATATTTAAACAATAAACAAATTAGACCATTTTAAATAGTGGGGAGTACTATGGAAATGTCAGGGAGTCAGAAGGACCTGAGAGAAAGTACCTTCAAGGGAGTAGTCAGTGACAACTTCTCCCAGGAGGTGAAATTTAAATTAAAAACATGAATGATAGGTTTTAGTTACCTAGTGCGGTAGTAACAAAAGTACCACAAACGCGTGGCTCTAAATAACAGAAATTTATTTTCTCACAGTTCTGGAGGCCAAAAGTCCAAATCATGGTCTCCCCTGGTGGATTCCTTCGTGGGTCTCTCTCCTAGTTTCTAGTATTTGCCGGCAATCCTTGCTGCCCCTTTGCTCGTAGACGGGCCCCCATGTGGTGTCTGTCTTCCCCCTATGTGTTTGTCTGGGTCTATTCTGGTGTTTTTGTTTTTTTTTTAAAATGATATTTTGTTGTGCTTTTCGTGAAAGTTTACACAGCAAATTAGGTTACCATTTAACAATTTCTGTACATATTGTTCAGTGACATTGATTACATTTTTTCCAATGTGTCAGCATTCTCCTTATTTCCATATTGCTTGTTCTGTTT